CAGCATCCAGAGAAGCGCCTTGGCTGGCCAAGGGAGGCCAGCCTAAGGGATGCAGGAAGCTCTTGCTAACACATAAAGAGAACCCGGTTTAGGCATGGGGATAAACTACATGCAGGATTTCAGAACCCTGAAAAGTCAACATCCAGGAGCTCAGGAAAGGATATCTACTGGAGAAAGAAGGATATAAGGCCCTGTTGTGTGATGAAGCAGCTCAGGGACACCAGTAACTGCCTAACTCGCCCTCAGAGCTCTCAAAGTAGAGAAATCAGAGGAAGGGAAGTCATTAAGAGAAAGAAAACAATGAAAACCTCCACCTATATCAGCAGAACTCCCTGGCTACCATCAGTCTCTCCCCCAGGTTCCTCTTTTGTGCAGGGTATTATTATTTATTGACATATTTATTTACTCAGCTCTACAGTGCTTAACGCCATGGCTGCTGGGCTTCTTGTGCTGGCAGGAGTAGAGCATGACAGAAGAGGAGCAAAGCTGAACCTGGAGATCTAGTATGATACGTGCCAAATGCCTTCTGCAGTGCAGCCTGAGGCATGCTACCTCTGTGATGGGCTATAAAGAGGAGCTGAGCTTCAAAAACAGCCTCTAGATGGACACAGCCTCACAGCCAGACTGTGCATACACAATCCTTTTCGACCATCAAAGAACATGCAGGTGACTGATAGCGTCGGTGGGGTGTACAGTGAAGGACAACCCCTGGTGTAACTTTGCTCCAGTCCGCTTTGTGCTTTCGAGACCCTGAATGTCACCCTGCAGAGACGTGGGCACCTGAGCTCGCTCTTTGCTACCAGCGACTGCTGTGGGCTACTCACGGGTACAGCACAGCTGGCTGAAGCCAAACCTACAGCATCAAAAATCCACATTAGAAAGGACAGGTGGCTGCAGATGACAGACCAGCTAAGGAGGCTGTCAGGCCTCCTTCTCATCCACCATCCTACATTTGTGAACTGACATGTCCCTGTGCACTTACCCCATCTCTTCCATAAGCATCTTTTTGGCACTATTCAAGCTGTTTTGCAGCCACGTCCTTTGACCCACAACACTCAGCTCTTTCCTTGTCCTACAGTAATGAAATCAGAGGATTCAGCCCAGATGGAGTGGGACAATGAGTTCAGAATCATCAACATGCCAGTGACAGCACAGCCAAGCTGTCCACAGTCACACCTACAGGTTTTGACTAACGATGAAAAGGAAGTCTGGCTAAACTGAGTCATGGGAAGGAAAGAGTTTCTGGGAAAATAAGCTCTGTATGATTTTCTCACAAGGAGATAATACACCACTGTTTCCTCAGGATCCAGAAGAAGCAAATTAGTAACATCTTGTGGTCAATCACAAGAGCTTTCAATATGTCTAGGAGAAGCGGGGGCATCTTAGTTTTGTCTAACATAGGAATGACTAGGGGAGAAAATGGCCTGAGGTGGGCCTACGGTTGTTGGTAGAGTGACTGTGAGAATCCTAGTAAATGATGAGAGGGGGGGAAACTGCCACAAAACAAACCCAAAACCAGATAGGGGAAATCAGTACCAGAAGTCTTGTGAACTTTCAGACCCTTACACACTCAAAATGATGGAGAGCTTTTCAATATCCATATGGATGAAGAGCAGGAAAAGACTGGAAACTAGATTCAGAAGAAGTACAGTAACTGGGGAAAGAATTTCAGTGGGAAGGGGTGAGTTTACATGCTGTATACATACACCATTCGTGCTCCTTTGTGGACATACTACTTGGGTATGGTCATTTTTCACATCTGAAAATAGCCACGCTTCCCACTTTAGTCCTTCCTGGGCTCATGAGAGACTGAGTCACCCGGGGACCAGCTGAGTCATCCAGCCAAAGCCTGGAAAGTGATGCAAAACTGGTCATCATATCCACGACTAAAACGTGGATGGCAGCAGCCCTCCTAGCAACCAACCATGTATTAGGCATGAATACTTGATGTGCCCTTTAAATATCTTAGTTCCATGCCTTGAAAAGCATTATCCTTGCAGAGACCAATGAATCTTGCATAGAAATTCACTGCTCTGACCTGCATCCTCAACTCCCAGTTTAAAAAGGGTCCTAATAACTTTGATCTAAGCATGTTCTCCCACCTCATCTTCAGAATGAAAAAGCTAACTTAATATTTTTCAGATCCTGTTAATGCTGCTTTGAGGCAGAGGAATGGATTAGCTAATCAGAGTCTCTTCAAGATTCATTTTTTTATTTATCTTTGAACCTGGTTTTGCTAGCATCAGTTCCCACAAACAGTATTATTTCCTATGTATTTATATTTATAGTCACTTAAGCAGTAGCTTTCTGAGACTATATAGAAGTAAAACATCCCTTAGTATTGTTTGAGCTCAGGGTCTCTAGATATCCTTTGCAGAAGATAACATTATGAGCCTGTTTAAAAAGGACCCTTGTGCCATCCTGTCTGTAAGAGACTGAGCTGTGGTGAAACTAGAAGGTGCACACAACAGAAACTGGTGGAGTGCCACGGTACACCTGATCTGCAGAACAGGGCTGTGCTGAACACGGTCTACCCAGCCATGTCATCACCTTAGAAGAAACATAATGTTTGCTATTCTCTAGATTATCTTTGAGAGTGACCTGGCCTTGAGGCTGGGGACAAGCAGCAAATCTGGAGACAAGCCCAGCTTCAGGGCTGCTACAGCACACAAATACAGGTGCAGTTTTGGGTACCTCTGTGGGTCTGTCACCGCAGGATTGGAATAGTTTTCAACAAAGCTATGGCTGCTGACATGGGAAATACGCTATTCTTGACAGTCACAAGGGAGGGACTGTGCCCCAGATATTCTAAGGGGGTGTCCACAGAGCAGTTAAGGGACCAAAGCAGGTTAGCTGTGCTGGCATGATATACTGTCCAGTGTAACTGAATGGTTGTATAACACAACTATCCGGTGATCGTTACCTCACTGAGGTGTACCCAGGCAGCCATACCCTCTGGGCACACCCAAAAGACACGCAGAGTCTTCCTATCAACTGATAACAGCACTAATCTGCTTCACCAGAGGGGATACAACGTATGACTGACTTTGAATGGTGGTCATAGGAACACAGAAATAACACCTACTCTGTAAGAGTCAGCCTTTAAATACAGAAGATTAAAA